CGCCGCCCTGGGTGCGGCTGCCGCTCACCCTGCGCTGGCTGCGCCCCGACTTCTGCCGCGACCTCTGCCCGCCGCCGCCTCCGCACGTGCCGCTGGCCTTCGGGCCTCCGCTCTCACCCCAGGCCTGGAACGACAGCAAGCAGGAGACAGTCGAGGGTGCCGAGGACCAGTGCGCCCTGTGCGCCTGCACGCTCCAGGTGAGATCTCTGCAGGGATCTGGGACCTCGGGTTCAGAGGGCTGTGGATGGGTGCGCGGCGAGGCCCATCGCTGGCTTGTGTAGTCCTTGGGGCTGTTCCTGGACACCTCAGTACCTCCCGGGAGCACCTGTCCTTTCCGGTGGCCTGGAAGGCGCCTCGGTAGATCCTGGACGACACTGCCTTCCCACGAGGTCTTTCCCGGCTCTCCATCTGAGATTGAGTCTTCCCTGTGCATGTCCCTGCCTCTCTTCCCTGAACTCTGCCTAACACAGCTTAAATTTGTCATCAGTCTCCCCACCCTTCACCCTAAGTCCTGGAGGGAGTTCTTGTGCTTCTGTAAATGTGAGTGACTCCCTGCACCCCTTCCCTGCCTGCCACCTTCAACAGGATGAAGAGGTCCCTCTGCGTTGTCCCCATCCCGGCTGCCCCCTGCGGGCCCATGTGATCTGCCTGGCAGAGGAGTTCCTCCAGGCGGAGCCAGGGCAGCTTGTGCCCCTAGAGGGTCAGTGTCCTAGGTGAGTCTGATCTTTCTCCCTTAGCCTGGTCTAGTCCAAGGTGAGGGTGCCCAGTGGGCCGGCCCAGGCCAGGCCAGGTCAGCCGAGTCCTCATCTTGGCAGCCAGAGCCCAGGCTGGAAGGGGCTTGTGGTGCCTGACTGTCATCTCGTCCAACTGCACCCTTGGTAGGTGTAAGAATTCGCTGCTGTGGGGAGACTTGGTCTCACTGTGTCGGATGGGATCTGAGAAAGACAATGATGACTCAGATTTCGAAGAGGTGAGATGGCCCTGGCCTCAGCTAGGTTACCTGCTCCATCCTTGGGCTGCCTCTTACAGACTCCCTTGTCTCCTCAGGGACACTGGACAGACCTCCTGGAGACCTGATCCTCATTGTCCCCAACTACGCCCACTATTTCTTTTGTATTCCCCTTTCTGCTAGGATCTGTGCAGTTTTTACTTGAGTAAATAAAAACTCTGAAAAAGAATACTTTGTGCTGTTTGTGAGGGTCTGTTGTGCTTTAGGGGATATTTTGCAAGGGGAACAATATAATACAGGACACATAGTTTATAAGATTATTTATAATAGTCACCCAAAGAATCATATACAAGAGAGTGCAGGAAATCTATCCACACACTAAAGATCAGAGAATCCAGCTGAGGGCCTGGGTCCCGCGATAATGTCCTGCATGAGTCCAGCTGAAGACCTAGAGCTAATAACAATGCCTCCCATGAGTCCAGCTGGAGGCCCAGAGCCCACAACATTTCATGCAGGGCTGTTTCACGGATCTGTGCTGGGAAGGCCCAAGGTCAGTGGTGGAATCTAGGAAGTCTGTACCAGCAGGATGAAGGATCTGTGCTAGCATGCTGAGCCAGGACGCATGCTCAAAATAAGAACCAGAGCTCCCCTGAAAAGTACCACAGCCATCCTCAGCAACAGTGAGGTTCCTAGTTCCTCTGGTGACCAGGACAGCCAAGTTCCCATCAGGAAAGCCAATGCAGCAAGCTTCTCCTTGAGACCGGCCGTGCACCATCTTCCCCTCCGGAGCCAGGAAGCGATGCCCAAAGTGAGGGCCAGAGCTCCCCCAAAGTGAACCAAAGCCATTCTCAGTGCCAACGAGGTCCTGAGCTCCTCAGAGGATGAAAACAGCAGAGTTCATCAGGAAAGCCAGCATGACGAGCTCCAACAGAACCAAAAGCCTCTCTCCGCTCCCAACAGCCTCTTTAGTTCCCAAAAGCCTTTTTTCTTCCCCAGTTCTGCCTCTTATGCTGCTGGCAACAGTCCCCAGGTGGGCCTCCCACACGCAGCACCACGCTGACTCAGTTCAGCTGGGGGTTATAAGTTGACCACCAGTTATCCCACCAGTTATCCCACCGCAGGTCGTTGATGTGCAACAGAGGGGGAGTAGGGGATGCTGCCCCACTATGGCACCACCCTCTCTCCTGCCTGGCAAGTCTCTGCCTTGATTTCCCTGTTATTCCTCAGGTCATATGATTCTTCGAGAGCTTCAGAAAATAGAACCTGTGATTGGAATCCTCCCACTCCCAGTGCCCAAGTACACTTTAGATTTTAATCCAGACTATAAAGACAGGCTGAGGAGGAAGGAAGCAGGTCCCGCTCTGGTCCTGCAGCTGTCCCCAACCCAAACTCTACCCCTCTCATGCAAAACCCCCTGTCATCTTAGAGAAACAAAAGCACCCCAGGATGTGATTTTTCCTCCAATTATGAGCGATGCTCCTGCGGTCCTTTGGTTGCCAGGAGTGAGGGGCTACCTCCTGGGGATATTAGACTTCAGTGCCTTGATTCTCTCCTGTGCTGCCCGAAAAAGAGCCCTACTTGCTCTACTCTGGCCCTGATTGCTTACCACTACCCACTCACGTCACTCTGGACTGGCCCTGTGGTCAGAGCCAGAAGTTCCTGGAATCCCCTGTGGGCTGCTCCATTCTGAACTCCTGGTGCCTGGGAGGCTGCCCCAGAACCACCGGGAAGGTGAGTGGCCCTGACCTCTAGCTTTCCCTGTCTATCCCCTATCTTGAGTGCGTCAATTATAAAAGCATTCTGCTGACCTGCCATGGAGCCATGGAGATTTGGTAATGGTGGTGTATCGGGATCCAGGCATAGGACCATCGATTTCCTGCTCAGAGGTACGATGACAGAATAAGATACAGACAAAATACATATTTTAGTTACAAGGAGCACAGGGATGGTCAAAGCCCAACAATGGGTTAAGACCATGGGGCACAGTGTCTTGGGCTTTTATTACGTGCACAGCTTGACTGGGGGGTGTGCTGGCGGGATGCAGGAAGCAATGGGGGTGAACTGCTGACAGGGTCAAGGTTCGGAACTGAGGAACGATGCATTTTTGGGTAATCACTCAGGAACAGATCATGGTTCACCGGTAACCTGTCTGTCTGCTAACTGGATTGCTGAGATAGACAGAATTTGCCCAAATCAAAGCCCTCAGCTGCCATGTGAGCTTGCTTTGAGGCGTCAGAACTTCACAGGCTGTTTGCTGGCCTCGGCTCTGGCCGCTGGCTTGAACATGAAGCTGTCCCTAAGCCAGCGGGGGGTCTCACCACAAGTCATGCAGGCCTAGGACAGACTCTCAATTTATTAATATTAGTTATTGCCTGCTTGTACCTCGTCGGGCTGTCCTCAGCAGTGGGATCTGGTGAGTCGCCAGACTGCTGCTCAAAAGGGAATCGAACCAATTCAACCCTGGCCACTGTCCCCTAGTTTCAGACCTTTGGTTTTCTACATACTAAACGTGCATTTTCTGCTTTCAGACCCCTCTACCCTTGGTTCCAGCCCGGGTGCTAATGAAAGTAAGAGATTTCCCCACACTAAACTCCACCCCATGTTTCCAAGGGCACAGCCAGTCCCAGCGCTAGTTTCACATCCCTCCCAGTTTGGAATTGGGAAACCTCCGGTTCAGAGGTTTGCACCGTCCTACACTCTGCGCACTGCTCCCTCGCTAAGGCACCGCACGCCCAGCGGACACCAACGCCAGGATCCTGAGCTGCCGGGTAAGTGCCCCGTGGGGCTGGCTGTCCCAACTGCCCTGTCCCGCCCTGCTCCTGGCCCCCACATCCTCAGAGGGCCGCCCAGCCCCCAGGGCTCCATCAGGCTCCTGGGTGACCCCTGGCTGTGGCCTGTACCCTGCCTGTTCTTTCCCATGGACGTCTCATCTCAACAGGACAACTCCTGCCTGAGCCCCGCTCCCTTCTTTACCTGAGTTATCAGTGTTTTTCTTCTCGACATACAACACTGCTCCCCAAACAAGCATAGTTGCGCAACTGCTCATGTTTGTCTTGGAGCCCAGGTTGTTTGGCTGGTTAGGTGGATTTCTAGGTTTGCTGGCCAGAAAAGTTTCCCTGTGGGAGGCCCAGGGAGCTCTCGAAAGGACCCATATGGAGGAGAGCCTGGTAGGTGCAGGCTAGGAGCCACAGCAAGAGGTAACTAAACTAAGCAAGGCTGGCTGCCAAGTGTGTGAAAGGGCGGGGACCAAAGGAGTGTCTGAAGTGCCACGACAAAGTCCTAAAGAGCTTTAAAAACCTGGACTTTGGCTTCTACCAGAGAGTGCTATAATTGGTTAGGGTTAGGGCTAGATTAATATGAGTTCCTCCTGGTGGTGGGCCAGTGGCATTAAGGGCAGCCTGTGTCTCTCGCCCGAGGCAGCAGCATGGAGCTGGTCCGGGACGGCTTCCGCCTGCCGCTGGCTTACGTGAAGGGGGTCCCGCTCATCAACTACTTTGCAGATGCCATAGAGCCGCTGCAGAGCTTCCAGGCCCGGCCCGATGACCTGCTCATCAGCACCTACCCCAAGTCGGGTAAGCAAGGAGGCCACCCTCTCCTGGGCTGCGGTCCCTGCTTGGCGAGCAGGGCCTGGCTCTGAGCTCCGTTCACCTCCACGTTCTCTCTTCCCAGGCACCACTTGGATGAGTGAGATACTGGACATGATCTACCAGGGCGGTGACCTAGAGAAGTGTCGCAGAGACCCCATCCACACGCGGGTGCCCTTCCTTGAGTTCAAGTGCCCAGGGGTTCCCTCAGGTGTGTTCTCGTGACCGGGGGCAAGAGAAGGGGGGAGGGGGACTCTGCTCCAGCTCAGCAGCTGTCCCCCGCCCATGCCTTAGGGCTTGAGAGTGTGAAGGACACCCCCGCCCCACGGCTGCTCAAGACGCACCTGCCTGTGGCCCTGCTCCCCCAGACTTTGCTGGATGAGGTCAAGGTGAGTGCACTGCGGCTGTCCCAGCTCTGGCCCTACTCTACTGGGTTTCTCTGAGCCTTGTCTAACGTCCTATGAGGCGGACACGTGCCTGTCCCTCGGGTGGGGTTCACAGACCAGGAGGACAAGACTCTTCAGTGCAAGCCAGAGAAATGCAGTGCAGGCACTCACAAGTCTGTACAGGACAAGGCCGGTGAGACCCTCCTGTCTTGTTCCAAATCTCAGTGTAGCACTGAAGAGGATCAGATCAGTATCAGATACAGCTCCTGGACCAGCCAGCATTTTGGCACCAAAGCAGAGTGAAAACCCCAGCCCTACCCAGAGGATAAGGTCTCTAGGAAGTCAGCCTGCAAGCCTGTTTCCTCCGCTGCACTGAGAGATAACCTCCTCCAGGGTGCCTGGAGTGACAGGCGGCCGGATTGGGGAGCAAGTCTGCTGTGGCGTGTGCTGTGTGGTGAGCGTGCCTGGCATTTGGTCATCTGCCCTGCAGGTGATCTATGTCGCTCGCAACGCAAAGGACGTGGCCGTCTCCTATTATAACTTCTACAACATGGCCAAGTTGCACCCTGATCCAGGCACCTGGGACGGCTTCCTGGAGAAGTTCATGGATGGCGAAGGTGGGCCTCACTCTGAGGAAAGAGGGGCTCACCACGCCGAGGGCAGTCAGCTCAAACTGAGACTGTGCTGTCTCGTGCCCCCTCCCTCAGTGTCCTACGGGTCTTGGTACCAGCACGTGC